CCACGCGCCCGGTGCCGGCCACCGCCGGCCCTTCCTGCCGCCTCGCGTCGCCATCGACGTGCGCGGCGACGAGGTGCGCACGCGGTCCATCTACGACGACCGCGACCTCGAGTCGGCCAAGGCCACAATGGGCGCAGGGCTGGCCGTCTACAAGCTGCGGTCGATGGTCGTGCAGGTGCAGGCGGGCAAGGAGTCCCCGCACCTGTGCGCCATCGTCCGAGTGCCCGAGGCGGAACGGGCGGCCGCAGCGGCAACGGCATCGGCATCGGCCGCAGGAACTGCAGGAACGTCAGGAGCGGCGGCAAGCAGCGGCGCCGCAAGCGCCCCTCAGAGCCCGGCGATCTCCAGCGCCGCTGCTGGAGGAGGAGGAGGAAAAGGGGTAGGTGGGGCGCCTCCAACACCGCAGGGCAAGCCGGGCAAGGCGAGCAAGCAGTCGCTGGGTCCGTGGTACCTGTTCAACGACTTCCTCGTGCGCAACATCAGCGAGGAAGAGGCGCTTCGGTTCCCGGCGTCGTCGTGGAAGATCCCGTCGGTGCTGCTGTGGGAGCGCGAGGATGTCGAGCCGCTGCAGCTGACGCAGCTGACCGACGGCCGGACGCAGATGGACCCGAGCATCCTGAGCGAGGACAGCAACATTTCGTGGAACCGCGACCCAGCCCGGATCCGGCACACGCCCCTGTCTCCGGACGAGCTGCCGCAGCCAGGCACGCTGGTGGCCATCGATGCCGAGTTTGTCGCGCTCAACCAGGAGGAGCTCGAGATCCGCTCGGACGGCACGCGCAGCGTCATCCGCCCGACGCGGCTCAGCCTGGCGCGGGTGAGCGTGTTGCGCGGCCAGGGCCCCCGGGAGGGCGAGGCGTTCATCGACGACTACATCTCGACGCAGGAGGAGGTGGTCGACTACCTCACCAAATTTTCCGGCATTCAACCGGGCGACCTCGACCCCAAGACGAGCCGGTACACGCTGGTGCCGCTCAAGGCGGCGTACAAGAAGCTGCGGCTGCTGGTCGACGCCGGCTGCGTCTTTATCGGTCACGGCCTGCAGAAGGATTTCCGCATCATCAGTGAGTCGACGACGGCACGCGGCCGTGGCGGAGGCGGCAGCAGCAGCAGCAGCGGCGGTGCCGTGTCCCGACGAGGGAAGCTGATGCGTTTGGCCGGCGTGTTGACCCTGCCTGCCTCTGCCGCTCCCCCCCTTGACCGCCACTTTCTGCCGCAGACATCCACGTGCCCCCATCGCAGGTCATCGATACGGTCAACCTGTTCCACTCGGCGCTGCACTGGCGCAAGCTGTCGTTGCGGTTCCTCTCGTGGTTCCTGCTCAAGATCGACATCCAGAACGGCGGCGCCAACCCCCCGGCCGAGACAACGTCCGACGTGGCCAAGGCCTCGGGCGGAGCGGGCACCGCCGCCATCGAGGATGGCCACGACTCGATCGAGGACGCGCTGGCGGCGCTGCGCCTCTTCCGCATGTACGAGATCTTCAAGCGCGACGGCAGGCTGACCGACGTCATGGAGGACCTCTACGACCACGGCCGCCGCCTCAACTGGAAGCCGCCCGGCGCCGCGGGAAAGTAGCCGCCGCAGCAGCAGCAGCCGGGGGACGCTCCCGCTCCGCCGTCATCTCTGTGCCTGTCTCTCTCTCTCTCTGCGCCTTGTCGAATGTGAACATGCCCGAAGGATCCGAGCGCGCCGAAAGCCTCGTCGTCGTCCGACGCTCCTCGTGTTTGTGAGGCCAGGATCGGCGAGGGCTCGAGGTCATCGTCTGCCGTCGTGAAGGGAGGACCTGTCTCGCCCGAGTGAATTTTCTCGGCGCCCAGGCCGGAGCCGAAGGGGCGGGTCTAAAGGCGGGGGCGTCTGATCGCCAGCCAGCCCGCCCGCCCGCCCGCCTGCCAGCCAGGGACGCGCTGCACTGCCGGAGCTCATCACCGGCTTCTTCCTACCGTCGATCCACCTCTCTCCACCTCGTCATTCGCCACTTCTGACCGTCCCACCGCACACAACACGACACAGCGACCATGCGTGAGTTATCAGTGCCGGCCTTTGAAGCCGAGGCGAGACGAAGGAGGGTACACGGCGCTGACGGCAGGTGAGACGACCCTTGAACCTTTGCCTCGCTGCGACCCGGAACGCTGTGCCACCTCCGACCTTGCGACCTTGCGACCTTGCGACCCTGCGAACCTGCGACCATGCGACGCTTTGACAGCCATCAAGCAGCTCGACACACCATACCCGCTCATCGATGCGGACCCGCACTTTTCGCGCGTGGTGAGGAATTTCCGCTCCTCGGACTACGCCGCCATGGCGGGCGCGACCGCCGCCTTCCCCAGCGCCATCTACGCCATGGGTGAGTAGCAGCAGCCATGGGCCCCCTCCCAAGACCGCCTCATAGCATGGTTCCGCCTTCGCACCCTGCTATGCGGTTCTCTGTGGACGATCTGGTGGCCACGTCCCCTGCCTTTCTTGCTCGCTGCTCGCTGGACATGGCTGACTTGGTACACTTCGTGTCCGGTACTTGCTTGCTGGCTGCCAACCCCCCCCCTGGTTTTCGCAGAGATGTTTGATCCTACCCGACCCAAGCACGGCCTGCGATCGGCGCTACGACTTTCCACTTTCCTCGGCCTCGCCGGCGGATTCCTGCTGGCGTATCAGAGGTCTAGCTGTGAGTAGCGCCTCTCCCGCCCCCGCTCCCGCCCCCTCCACCAGAAGGAAGAGAGTCAAGTGGACTGGCACAGACTGCTGACCTTGCATCGATCTCTCTCTTTCGCTGGTACTCGGACGATGCTGCGACACCACGACCTGCGACATACGACGAATCAACGATGGCCGAACGCGGCAGTCCGGTTCTGGGGATGGAGGGAAAACGAGCTGGAGCAGGCCACCGCCAAGGCCGAGATTGACGCTGGCATCAAGCCTCCGGGCACCGACCCGTCCAAGTCGGACCTCACACCATTCCTCCAGGGCGTGGCGCACAGGAACTCGGCCTTTTCCCAGCTCAAGTTCAGTGAGTTGGCCCTGCCCCGGTCGAGCTCTCCTCGCCTCGCCTCTCTTCTGCCCGATTCGCCCGCATGCAGCAGTCCAGCTGACCTATCCGCCCCCGCCCCGTACGCTCGGCTCGATCATCGTACAGGCACGCTGCCCTGGTTCAACGTCGTCGACCACCCATACCACAACGACGAGTCGTCGCAGTAGACGCGGCCAGCGCGCGGCGTACACCCTCCGTCGCCCGCGGATCCCATCCCTGTCTGTGCACGGCCAGCGCCGCACCCATCCTCCTCCTGGCAATGCAAAAGACACTCTGACACGAAGGCCCGCCGCACCGGTACCACCCAGCGGCAGCAGCGGCGGCGGCGGCGGAAGAACGCCGACTGCGACCGACGTCGATGCCACCGTCCGCCGCCGCACTCTGCATCTCGAATCGAAGGTCGAGGGGCTGGCCAGGCCGTTGTCGCATTGCAGAAGATGACCGGACGAGGGGAGGAATGAACAAGGGCCCGGGGTCGAAGTAGTAGTACAGAGGAAAGTCAGGGGCAAGGCGGGGCCGGGGCTGGACGAGGCGAGGCGAGGCGGGGGATCGAGATGCGGTGGGAGCCCCGCCTTTCACTCGGCGGCGATGCCGGTGGGCAGGTCGTTGACGGCTTGCTTGAGGTCCTGCACGTCGTCGAGGCAAGTGGCGAGGCGGGTGAGGATGTTCGAGGTCAGCGGCGTCTCTGGGCGCTTCGATCTCTGGCCGACGGCACACCACTCACGGCATTGTCGGGGTCAAACTGGAGGCCGAGCTCGTAGGCGTCCCTGGCCTCTTGGTAGCGCTTGAGGGCGGTGAGCGCCTTTCCCTTGCGGTAGTGGCCCTTGCTCCAGGGCTTCTTGAGCTTGACGACGGCGTCTGCGTCGCAGAGGGCGCCGATGTAGTCGCCGCAGCCGAAAAAGGCGGCGCTGCGGTTGGCGAGGCAGAGGCTGAGCTCGTCGCGGGCGACCTGGTTGGCCTCCCAGAGCGGGCGGCTGGCGGCGACGTCGACGGCGAGGGTGTACATGCGTATGGCCTCTGCCCAGTCCTGCTTGCGGAAGGCGGCGTTGCCCTGCTCCTTTGCCTGGTTGATGGCCATGGAGCGCTGCGGCGGCACCACGTTGGGCGGCGGCGGGAAGGGCACGTTGGGCGGCAGGCCGCGCACCGAGCGGATGAGGGCGTTGAGGATCGTCAGGTCCAGCCCGGGCACGGGGCTCTGCAGCGTCCCGCTCTCCGAGTCGATTGCCAGCGGCACCGCCTGGAAGTTGGCATCGGCTATCGCCAGCTGCTCCTCGGTCGGAGCGGGAGGGGCTCCGGGTTGCGCCATGGTGGGTGGGTGCGCGGGCGAGCGAATGGGGGTCAGTGGACGACGGCTGCGGCGTTGGCGAAGCGAAGGGCGTGTGAGAGAGGATGCGAAGGTCGGCGGCGGTGGAGAGCGGGGACGGGGAGAGATGGAAGGGGTCGAGGTCGAAGTCGAGGGCGAGGGCGAGGAAGGTACTAGCTCGAGTTGGTCTGTGGGCAGGCAGGCCAGGCGAGGGCTTCGCGGCCAGCGCGGCGGTTGCTTTGCTGCGCTGTCACTTTGGAGCTCGCCGCGGCTGCTTCGAACCGGCCGTGAGAGAGAAGGGAGAGCCAGGCTGCCCCCCACTCCACACCACACCAGCCTGGCCCACCCTCGTGCCTAGCCTATGGCCGCCGCCCACCGGAGGCAGTCCAGGCCAGGTCAGGCCAGGCCGGGCACGCACGGTTCAGCACTCCTGACCCACGGCCCCGCTCATCCCCCTCCGCCCACCACCGCCATCACCACCACCACCACCACCACCGCATCGGGCCAGTCCTCGCCCGCTCACCACCCTCTCCCCCCACTGGCGCAGCAGCAGCAGCATTGGCCAGCCCATCAGCCTCCCCCAAGTGGCGCGCCATGATCCGCTTCATCCTGGTCCAGAACCGGCAGGGCAAGACGCGCCTCTCCAAGTTCTACGTCCCTTACGACGACGACGAAAAGGTGCGCCTCCGCGGCGAGGTACACCGCCTCATTGCGCCCCGCGACCAAAAGTACCAGAGCAACTTTGTAGAGGTGAGCCCTGGCCGCGTGCCCCGTGCCCCCGTGGCGCTGCCGTTTCCGTCGTCGTTGCTCATCTCTCTCCCCCCGTCTCTTCCTCTTCGCCTCTGCCTCCGTCGCACGCGCAGTACAAGAACCACAAGCTCGTCTACAGGCGGTACGCCGGCCTCTTTTTTTGCGTCTGCGTCGATGCAAACGACAACGAGCTGGCGTACCTCGAGGCCATCCACCTCTTTGTCGAGGTGCTGGGTACGTCCTCCTCCTCCTCATCCTCCTCGCCTCCTTTGCCCCTGCCTTCGGGCCACCACGATGCAGACAAGGGCCTGACATTTGACGTGCCCTCGGCTTACTTCGCATCTTTGCACCTTCGCCGCGATCAAGACGCCTTCTTTGGAAACGTGTGCGAGCTCGACCTCGTCTTCAACTTTTACAAGGTCAGCCGTTGAGCCCGCCCGGCTCCCTCGGAGCGGTGCAGGGGCAGGACTGAGGTCGACTGACAGCGCTGTGATATCCTGCCTTGCTATCGCGCGCCCCGAACAGGTCTATGCGATACTCGACGAGGTCTTCCTCGCCGGCGAGATCGAGGAGACGAGCAAAAACGTCGTACTGGCCCGCCTAGATCAACGTGAGTGTCCTCCGCCCGGATCCGCACCTTTAGTCGACCGACCTGACGACCGCGAGATGCTCATGTCTGGCATCGTTGTACTGCCCTCTCGACCGCAGTGGAGAAGCTCGATTGATACCACGACTACTCGACTGCATCGCCGCCGCCGCCATCCTGCACAACGATCACGATCATCTACACGACCACCAGCATACCTTGTAACACTAGCCCCCCTCCGCCCCCTTTTCGTCACCCACGACACTGCGCGTCTCGCGCCTGTTCGCCGCCGCCTCGCCTCAGTTCAGTTTCAAGCAGCTCGTCCCCGAGCCGTCGCCGGCCCACTGACCGACGAGGGCCAGGATCCTGCGCTTGTCGCGCACCGCGTCGTCGGATCGCAGCTCGTGGAGCGTGCACAGATTGAAGAGGAACGGCTCCACGCTCGTCACGCTCGAGGGCGACGACGCCAGTACGCGCTCGAGCGCATCCACCGGCTGCAGCAGGGATGCCCACGACGTCGGAAGGGCAAGTCGAGTGTACGGGTCAGACACGGCGAAGACGACATCGTCATTGGCAGGCAACGTCGAACGCGCACTTACCTCTTGCAGCCGGCCTTGGTAGAAGACGGCGACGGCCAGGTCGTTGGCGAGCAGCCCGTCTTCGGCGTCGCCTGCCTGCGCACGCTGCTCGGCCGCCTCCCTCCATTTCGCCTCGGCGCTGGCGTACTCGCCCCTAATGGTGGCCAGCAGCGCCGCATTCTCGACGACGAGCCGCGAGACGGGCTCGCGCTGCGCGTCGTCGTCGAGTCGATCGTAGATCTGGCGCGCCGAATCGAACATCAACGCCGTCGCGGTCAGAGAACCGGCTTGGATGTAGAGCCGCGCAACGTGCGACAGCAGGTGCACCTGCGAGGCCGATGGCGACCGCACAGCCCGTAGCAGCGTCGAGGCCGTGAGCGGCTCAAGGAGGTCAATGGCAGCGGGGTAGTCCTGGGGCGGGGGGGGGGGGGGGGGGGGGCGAACCATGAGCAGGATCAGCACCCATGCTCGCATTCGCAGTTGCGGCCTCAGCCGTGGCCTGAACGGGCATTCCGCGCTCACCTTGGCTTCGGTCAGCAGTGCTGCCGTGATGAGGCCCAGCCTCGTCGCCCGGTCGGTCCACAGCGTCACCTGGGCCGCCACTTCCTTCTGCACGTCGTCGGAGGGCGGTGTTGCTTGCCTTGCCAGCCTTTTTGCTGCCCCTCCCCATTTCCTGATCCAGGCCTTGCAGTGAGTGATGAGCTCGACGTGGGCGTCGATGGCCTCGGTGAGTTCGCCTCGGTACTTTGCCTCCCTCGCCTTCATCGCGCGCAGGCTGAACGGGACGAGCGGGCTCGATGCCAGCGTGCGGCTCCTGCTGCTGCCGGCGACGGTGGCGCGCTGCAAGGTGCGCTGCTTCTGCGGCGATCCTGTGTCAAAGGAGAGAGCATCGTCGAGGCCGTGACCAGCTCGGATGCCTAGCTCGGTCGAGTCGAGCACAGCCCAGAGACCCGTCAGCTCGGTGTGCATGAGCGAGTAGAGCCTGAGCCTCGAGAGCGCGTGGAGGCGGATGGACCACCACTCGAGCACCTCGGCGATCCCCGCCGTCGGCGGACCGTCGTGTCGCGGCTCAGCGTAGGCCATGATCCGGGACCTGGCCAGCGTGGCGATCCTCCGCCAGCTGTTGGTCCTAACGGCCTCCTGGACGGCCGCCTCGTCGACGTTTTCGAATGCGACTCGAGGGTCAAAGGCCGCGGTGGACGCAAAAGGGTCGGCCTGCGTCCAAGAGCCGGAGAGGTCTCGGGGCGGGCGCATGTGCGCTGGCAGATGCTTGCTCAGCAGCGTCGCCAGCGGGTCGGTCGAGGGCAGCTCTCCCATGAGCTTGCTGTCGCCGAGCGCCGGGATCCTCAGGTGGGTCGGGGCGGTTATGTCCCTGGCATTCGGCGCCGGCCCATGACCGGGGTATCCGGAGGGTGCGTTGGGCTGCTCGGCGGGCGAAGGGCGGACGAAGGCAGGCTGGAAGGACTCGAGGAGGGATTGCGGAGATGGTGCGGCAGAGGTCGCGGCGGCGGTGCTGGCCTGGCCCTGTTGATGGGGCGGCCCGTATGGATCGTCTGTGTTGCTGGACATGGCTGCGATGTTGAAGGGGAGATGAGAACGGATTGGGGTGGCTGACGATGGTGGTGGTGGTGGTGATGGTGGTGGTGGTGGTGGTGGTGGCCTGGGGACGGCCTGCCTCTGAGCCAAAGAAGGTCTGTGCGCGCTGCGCCCGCCCCTTGGTTGCCGTTCTGAGGCCACTGAGCTGGCTGCAGCACGGCGCTCCACACCGCACCCTTGCCTCTCTTTCGACCATCACCACCGTCCCTTCTTTGCTCGCCGTCCACCCTTCGCAGCTCATCGGCTGGCTCATCGCCAATCATCGCAGGCCGCTTCTAATCACCCCCCTCGCCGCTCGTCTAGGCCGACATCGCCATGCTGGTCCTCGTCATTGGTGAGCGGGCATCTCAGGCATGCCGTGCACCCTGATGGCGATGCCGCCGAGGCTGACCCGCATGCCCTCTCCCTTCTTCATGACCCCTTGCCTCTCTGCCACAGGCGACCTGCACATCCCCTTCCGGTCGCACGACCTGCCCTCCAAGTTCAAGAAGCTCCTCGTCCCTGGCAAGATCCAGCAGATCATCTGCACGGGCAACGTCTGCAACACCGACTACCTGCACTACCTCCGCACCATCGCCGGCGACGTCCACGTCGTAAAGGGCGACTATGACGACGTGAGCCAGAGGGACGACTCGCTTGCTTGCATTCCTCCCTCCAACGGGCCGAGGAGGCTCGATCCGCGTGCTGACCCCTTTTCGACACTCTCCAACGGATCTGCCACTCTAGAACCCGCACTTCCCCTCCAGCCTCGTGCTGCACCATCCTCCGCTGAGGATCGGCGTGCTGCACGGTCACCAGGTCGTGCCCGCCGGGGACACGCAATCGCTCGCCGCCATCGCGCGTGCCATGGACGCCGACATCCTCCTCACTGGCCACACGCACCGCTTCGAGGCGTTTGAGCTCGACGGGCGCTTCTTTGTCAACCCGGGCAGCGCGACGGGCGCATGGCATCCCATCTGGCCCATCTCGAGCAGCGCACCGGCATCGGCAGCAGAGGCAGGAGCCAAGCAGGCCACCGAGGGCGAGGGCAGCAAGGCCGATGCATCCGCCGGCGCAGCGGCACCGGCGACGGCAGGGGCACCGGCAGCAGCGGGCGCGACATCATCCAGCGACGCCAAAAAGGGCGCTGCAGATGCCGCGGACAAGAAGCCGGACGCCAAAGCTGCCAAGGCCAAGGGAGATGCCAAGGCCGAATCCGAGAAGGACAAGAAAGACGACGGGCCGGAGGACGAGGAGCCCAAGGAGGCGCCAGGGCCGACACCGAGCTTCGCATGTGAGCCATCCGACGCCAGCCTCGGCCGCTCTGCCTTCCGTCCGTCCAGCTGGCTGCGACGATCGTCTGACGCACGCTCGCCGTTTGCCTCCACCCTCTCCCTCTCTGCAGTGCTCGATATCCAGGGAGCGGTGGTGGTCACGTACGTCTACCAGCTCATCGATGGCGAGGTCAAGGTCGAGAAGATCGAGTACCGCAAGCAGGTCGAGAACAAGGCGCAGCGACCAGGCGCATCGGCCGCACAAACGGCCGCCGCGGCAGGGGGCGGCTACGGCTTCGGCGGCCGATGAGCGGCGACGATGCAGCGGCGCGGCCAAGTTGAAGGATGACGCCGCCTGGCGCTGCCGACTCGGCATGACGTTGCGGTTGGGCGCGCGTCGCGACCCTCCTCACGGCGATATCTCGGCCTAGGTGTGGGAACGCAGCAAGCGCGTAGGTTTGAGCTGCTGCTTTTTAAGGCGTGCGAGGGAGGAAACGATACTGTACAAGGAGTTGCGTAGCGAAACAGGCTGGAGTGCCGGGAAGCCGCCGGGAGCTGGCTTGCGGTATGAGGAGAGAGACAGGTAGATGGCGGAGACCTTCACATCGCCGGCTGGATGAGCGTCTGTTCGGCAGCGGGACAAGGGGGAAGATGTCCAGAGGAGTCAGCGATGAGCCCGCCGAGGGGCTATTCCACGCCATTCGACGACGTACAATGTTGTCGCCCTTGAGGAGGATCCGCCCTATTGTCGATACGAGGGACCCGCGGCCAGTGAGACGGGAGTGCAGACAGTCAGAAGATGAGGCCCAAAGGGACAGCTGTGCCGTTGCCGCGCGCCACTCACCGAGCTCCTTCCTCTGCTTGTCCTTCTTGATCCAGACCTCTTCGGCGTCATCGAGGGTGACGTTCATGAACTCGTCAAAGCCCTGCCGGGTCGGGGAGAGCGAGCGGGGAAGGGGTTCGGTCAGAGGATGGATGGTTGGCGCAAGCAGGCCCTTTTCTCGCCTCGCCACGCAGTAGCCCCCCATCGGAAGCGGGGCAGGGCAGCGGGCAACGCAGTGCTGGCAGTGGGGAGCGACGACTCACGATGATCTTGCCCTCGATGCGGAAGTCGACGTTGTCGTAGAGCCAGAGCGACACGCGCGACTGCTGCTGCAGGTGCCGGAAGATGATGTTGATCGGCTGGACGGTGACCTTTTGTCTTGACGACATGGTGGTGCGTTCTGACGGGCTGGGAAGGGAGAGAGTAGACCAGGGCCGGTAGAGAGGCGGGTATCGTTGGGAAGAGCGGATGGAGGTGGGCCTGAGGTTTGCAGAGCGGCGAGGATGAGGGTTGCGGGTTCTGTCGAGGCGTGCAGGTGCTGTAAAGAGGAGCCGTGTGGATGCTGCTGCTGCTGCTGCTGCTGCTGTTGCTGCTGCTGCTGCGTGCTTGGATCGTGGGGCGGCGAGGACGTGGTGGTCGCGATAGAGGCTGCGAGGAGCAGGATGCAGGTCGAGCGGGCGAGCGAGCCGTGCCTCTTCTTCGTTGGGTTGGCCGCCCGCCCGCAACACACGATCACGACTTGACTCCCCGATTCGACCCTTTTATCGGGCCCCCGACCTGCACGGCCGCCGGGCGTGGAGCGAGCGACCCTGGCCTGGCTGGCCGTTGGCTGCCTGCTGGCCGGCCTCGGATTTACCTTTGGGGCTGCCTGCCTGCTCTCGAGCCTCCCCGGACTTTGTTGGCGTGTTGCTTCCGGGCCGCCATCTCATCTCGTCCGTCCCTTTGTCGCTGCGCCCCTTGGCCCCTACACGCTGGCTCTCATCGCTCCACTTTGGCATCCGTATCGGCCCACCGCTGCCAGCCTGTTCTCTCAAAGCCTCGATCCCTGCCAGCCCAGCGTCTTGGTTCCAGCACCAACCCAGCTTCCAACGAGCCAAACTCTGCCGCTTCTCGAGTTCCACCCACCGCTCTAGCCTACGTGCGGCGCGCTCTCAGCGAGCCTCCTCTCGAGGGCCACAGCCGGCTGCTAGACTCTACAGCCTCGACCACCAGCCGAGCCCAGGGAGCGGGCCAAAGACTCGAAACGAACCGGACCGAGCCACCTTGAGCCAGGTCAAGCGGCACCTCACCTCAACCTCACCACCCGAGACCAGACCAAAGATGGGCCTCACCTTCTCGTCGCTGTTTGGACGGCTCGCGTTTTGGGCCAAGAATGAGGAGGTCAGAATATTGATGCTCGGTCTCGATAGGTGCGTCGTGCGGCCGCCGCCGCTGGTCGGGCTGATTCCGAGCCATCAGGCATAGCTGGCAAGGCATCGCGCTGACTCTTCCACCCTTGACCTCTTGTGCCACAGCGCCGGAAAGACGACGATACTCTACCGACTCCAGATCGGCGAGGTCGTGTCGACGATACCGAGTGAGCTTCTTCCGCCTAGCCCTACGAGGCTGTCGCGCACTAGTCACGGCGATGCATGCCTCTGACGGTGCACCTTGATCTCCTCCTGCGCCTCTCGCTACCTCGCCAGCCATCGGATTCAACGTCGAGACGGTTGAGTACAAGAACATCAAGTTCCAGGTGTGGGACCTGGGTGGGCAGACGAGTATCCGGTGAGGCCCTCCTCTCCCCTCTCCTCTCTCTATCTACTCGACGTCGTTCCGCTGACCAAAGGCCAAGCTGATCCGCTCTCCACCGCATCGCAGCCCGTATTGGAGGTGCTACTACGCCAACACGACGGCCATCATCTACGTGATTGATTCCTCGGACACGGCGCGGCTAGAGACGGCCAAGGCGGAGCTGATTTCGATGCTGTCGGAAGAGGAGCTCCGGGACGCCAAGCTGCTCGTGTTTGCAAACAAGCAGGACCTGCCGGGCGCGCTCGACGAGGGGCGCGTGAGCGACAAGCTCGGGCTGACGGAGCTCAAGGACCGGCAGTGGTCCATCTTCAAGTGCTGCGCCACCAAGGGCGAAGGCCTCGAAGAGGGGCTCGACTGGTGAGTGTTGGCGAGGAGACGTGGTGCGATCCTCGCTCGGCTCCCTGCGTCTCTCTGTCTACTTAATGCGACGCCCGTGCTGAACCAGAGACCGCTCGCTCGCCCGCCCGCCCGCGCGCCCGCCAATCTCGGTTTCCCGCTCCGCCTCACAGGCTCGTCAACGCCATTCAGGCAAAGTGATTTCTCCGTATACCTCGACCTGTGGCCTTCCATGGACGCTGTCATCCTCTCGCTCCCTCTCCGCGTCTCGTCTCTTTCCTGTGCGCCATAGCATGACCCGATAGCACTGCACCACCATATCCGCCCGCCGAAGCGCGCGACAGCTCGCATCGTGCCATACGAAAGCTACCGCCTTGTCCCGGCGGAGAGAGACGGAGGGCTGAGCTGCGATGTCGGGCGAAGACCATCGAGGAGGCCAAGACGAGCCAGGTGTTGGCGGAGGCTGCGAGAATGGGGCGGGAGAGGGGTTGGTGGCTCGTTCGCGCCTGTGTGTGGAGCGGAGAGAAAAGGCGCCGGCGTTAGAAGAGGTGAGGGGCCAGTGCGCCGCGGGCTTCGCTCGCTCTCTCTCTTCTCTCAACTTTGATCCTTCACCACCCGTGCCCCGCCCCCCCCCCGCTGCTCCGTCTAGTCTCGCTCCTCTGCCCTCCCCCTACCCTCCTTCAAGAGAACACTGGACCGAACACGCTCGCCTCGACTGCGCTCTTTGACCATGCAGTCTACCGCCTCGGCCATCGCAGCGGCAGCCATCAGCGGCACTGATCTGGGCGCCAGGGCCAACTCGGCCAAAGGATCCGACACCGCCGCCGCCGCCACTACGGCCAGCAACAGCGGCAGCAGTGGCGGTGCCACGTTTGACGGCGCCGAGGCCGAGAGGTGGCTGAGCGCAAGATGGAAGGTGGTCGAGTCGAGCATCTCGGACCCTACCCTCACCTCTGCCGGTGAGTGTTGGACGTCGATGGCCGGCCCGCCGGGTCAAAGAGAAAAGGGTGCCGTGCCGGTGCATCTGGGCTGATACGTCGTCGCTTGTCCCCCTTGATCGCTACCTCGCCGGCCGGCCGGCCGCGTCTGCGATCGTCTGGCTCGAAACCCGCTCTCAGACCGTGCAGAGGTGCACAAGTCGGCGCCGGGAACGGGCGGCGGTGCGTGGGGCGCCAACAAGCGTGAGTCGAGGCGAGGCTGCGCAAGATTCGGCGGCAGTCAGAGAGAGACCTGGAGCGCTGATAGCCGTCTTCCCCCCTCGCATGTGACGGTGGCGGCGGTGTAGGGACGACAAATGCCCAGTTCGCCGCGGATCTGGCAAAGGCGGCGGCGGCGGCGGGGATCCGCTGAGCCCGTCTGTGGCGAGGCGCCGACGCGGTCCCGGCCACACCGTCGCCCATCTGACCATCCTGTCTTGTCGCTGCGCAAGCTTGGCCGCGATGCGGTCGCCATTATTGCTTCCGACCGGCAGCCCTGTATTTCTACCCTAACCACCATTCGCTCGACAGGAGTAGCAGACACGATGATGACAGCAGCAGCGTGGCCCGGGACAGCAGGGGCTGGACGGAGGAGGCTAGGTGAGAAGATGGAGGCCATGTGCCGGCTAGCTTTGGTTGGTCAGGAGAGAGAGCAAGACGGCCGAGCGGGCGAGCGGGCGGTTGAGAAGCGGTGTTGGAGTCGAGTTGGCGGGTGGCGACTGGCAGCTGTCGCGGTGCGGCGCGGCGCGGCGCGGGCGAGGCAGGCCTGGAGGTCAGGCTAGGGTTCAAGGGCCCCTCGCTGCCTCGTCGGTCGCCTGGCTCGGTCTGGCCCTGGCCCTGGCCCGCCCACTCGCGAGTTCGTTGAACGCGCGCCTGGCCCTGGGCTGACCCTGGCCCTGGCCCTGGCTGGCTGGCTTTCCTCTGGCAGGCTCAGGCCCAGGCAGGCGGCCAAAGCAAGCCAGCCAGACGGCGCCAACCACCTTCGCCTCCTCCTCTCCACCATCCCCGCCGACGATCCCGGCCTGGCTCCTCGTCATCCCTCCACGCCGCCCTCATCGCATGCCGTCGCTTGCTCCCTCTTTTCCGGTCGCTCTCGCATCCTTCCCCGCCTCGGCTCCAGCGTGTCATCGCCCGCCTCGGTGCCAAGCAACAGGCCCCGCCTACCGCTCTCGTCTAGCCTAGGAGCCTCGAGCCGCCCGGCCAGCATCGACAAAGTCAGCTTCGTCCGCTTCTCCACCCAGCTCGCATCACCTCGTCGACCCGCACACTTGCTCCAACTCGATACAACTCGTGCCGCACCTCGACATCCAGCCGCAATCCTACCCGCAACCCTACTCGCAATCGTACCCGCCTTCTGGCCGCCCTGGCCCCCGCCCCCGTCGACAACCAACCGCAGCTGACCGGCATCGTAGTGCGCAGACCGATGCAGGGGACCTCTGCGCCCCGAAACGCCACCATCGCCAGCTAGCCGCGCGCGCGCCGTGCCAACACGATGCCAGAGGCCTCGTCGTCATCGTCTCGCCGCGAGCGACACCGCTACGACGACGACAGCTACGACCGCGACTACCCCAGCCGCAAGCGTCGCCCCTCGCCCGACCGCCGTGATGCGGAGCTCGGCTCTCGCGATGACAGGTACGCCGGCAGAGCGACAGCAGCAGACGCGGCATCCGGCAGCGGCCGGCGCAGACTGTACCCGGAGGACGAAACCTACGACGGCAGGTACAGTTCCTCGACTGATACTGACGGCTGGGGCCCACCTCGCGGCTATTCCCGCGAACAGGAACGGTCTCGCCGGCCTCCATCTCCGACCTGGTCAGACTGGCGCGAGCGCGAGCGAGAGCGGGACAGGCACCGCGACAGGGAGAGGGACCGGGATCGCGCTTCCAGGCGCGCCTATGAGGAGGATGCCTACGCTCGTGGCTGGTCCCGCAGCCCCTCGGCGGATCGGCGTGGACACCATAGAGGCGGATCCAGCCGCGACTACGCGTCCGTTCCCTATCCTGACGATGGCCGCCGGCGCGAGGACGACGACTGGCGCTCATCCGCAGGCGGCGGTGGAAGACGAAGGTCCAGAGAGAGGTGGAGGGACGAAGACAGGTCTTCGCGGGCGCTGCGCAAGGACGGAGGCCGCGCTTACGTTCCGGAACGCGGGAGGAGCCCTAGCCGTAGTCGCAGCCGTAGCCGCAGCCGCGAGCGGCATCGCGGCAGTCATCCCAGGCACCACGGGCAGAGACACCGCGAGGAGCGGAGGAGATCGCGGGATCGCGCCACCGGCCGCAGCCAGAGCCGTCCTCGCTCTCGAAAGGCTTCTGCCAGCGGCGCCGAGATGCTCGTCGACGGCGAAGAGGGCGAGCTGGCGGATCCGTCGCGGCGGCCTCCGAGCAGGTCTGGGTGGTCAGATCGACAACCCAGCAGAGAGCGGCCGCATCGCCTGCCGCGGGACGAGAGCGCAGCGACAGCGGCAGCAGCAGCAGCAGGGTCGAAGCCGCACGTCATAGACGCCGACGCCGCGCTCCTGCCACGGGTGACACGTTCCCGGGCCGATCCGGCATCCGTCTCAGAGCCGCAAAGCAACCCAGACGACCCTAGAACATCGGCCACCTTGCTCGCGACCAAGCCGATCGTTGCCGATGGTGCGCCGCTACCTCGACCGAGCCCCAGAGATCAGGCAGCGGGACATCCCTCGCCGCTCGACAACAGCTCTCCCTCCCACGGCGGAGCCTCGACGCCTCGGCCAGAGATGCCGAGCCCTGCCACCACGGTCGACTCGAAAGCGACTGTCTCCGCCGACGACGCCAAGCCTTCCGACGACCCCGCGACGCAGCCTGCCTCTCTGCAGAACGGGACGGCCACGCCGCGTGCGCAAAACCTCGCCACGGCAGCCAACAGCGCCGTTGCCACAGTCACGGCGTCGACCACGACCACGACCGCTCCGTCAGCGACGTCCGGGTGGAGGCGCATCACGGGCGAGCGGTCCCGCGCCGTCGAGACAAGCAGCGGTACCGCAGCAGCCTCTCCGCCATCATCATCTGGAACGACGCTGGCCTCACCGGCCATACCCACAGGTCCGCGTGCACTGCAGGCCGCGTCTCCCTCTGCCGCCGTGGTCGCAGCCGCAGCCGGCGCATCCGCGGCGGCGTCCTCGCCTCTGACCGTTGGGCCATCCCGGGGCAGGCCGGCCACCACGGCCAACGAGGCCGTGGCGTCGTCAGCCTCGAGCCTTCAGGCCGACCAACGACCTCCTTCGCCGCCGTCGCCACGCTCGGCATCGACGTCCGCCGTTCCTGTCGAAGCTGTCGCTCCCCTCGAGCGGTCCTTTGGACACGTGCCGTTGCCCAACGAGCTCGATACCGGCGTCCGGGCAAAGAACTTCCTGATCGATTATGACCCCGCCCTGTCGAAACACAAGTCAAGGGGCAACAAGCCGATCAAACGGGCGAAGCCGACGACAGCACCGGACGGAAGCGTGCCTCCCGTGGCCGACCCACGTCTGGCGGCCAAGCACGGCGGCAAGCGCGCGGATCGCGGTCGCAAGGTCGTGAGGAAGCAGGTGATGACGGTGCCCGCGTACGAGTGGGACAAGCACTCGGTCGGCAAGCGCCCGCCGCCGCCGCCGCGGGAGCTCGTTGTGACCGGCCTGCTTCCGCGCACGACGGAAGGCCAGCTGAGCCAGCAGTTCCGCCTGTTTGGCCGCATCGAGCGGCAGGAGCTCAAGCTCGAGCCGACGACGGGCCAGAGCCTTGGCATCTACTCAATCACGTACGTCCACGACTTTGACCTCGACGGAAAGCCGACCAAGGAGCCGGCGGCGGGCCCGACGCTGCAGAACGGACACGAGGCCGCCGCGGCAGCGCTCAAGGCCATGGACGGCCGTCGGATCGGCACAGAGGTGATCCAGGTCGCCATGGACCGCGACCGCGCCAAGTACAAGCTGGCCTACCGCACCGAGCTTGGGAGGCGATACAACAACCATCGCAGCGGCTCTTCGTCGTCGGCGGCCCATCGCAGCGCAGATGGCACCCGCAGCGGCCCGCCGGCTGCAGCGCCGCGCGACGCCGCAGAGGTCCCGACTCGTTCCGACGCTCCTGGCGCCAGCCAGCCGGATGCCCACGTCTCGTCCTCGTCTTCGATGCCGCCACCCGTCGTCCCGCGCGGGCCACGGTCGCTGGTCAACCGATCCTCTGCGACGGCTTCGCCGTTCCGCGCTTCTCCGCTCCATAGGTCCACGTGGGACTCGGAATCTGCCGAGTCACCTCGACGGACTGCCGCTGCACCGACAGGCGCCTCGTCAGCGTCGCAGTCTGGCCGCAGCTGGCGGGACGACCGCAGCTACGACCGACGGGACTCGCGCGATAGCTACGACCGGCGGGGCTCCGGCCCGGCCTCGAGCAGGACGTACCCTGCCAGCTCGTCCTACCGCTCTCGCGACGACAGGCGCTCCACCGACAGAAGGCGGGGTGACGACGACGACGACGACGACAGAGACGACGACGGGCGCAACGACGTCGAGGAGCCGACGGAGCGCATCCTCCGGCGCTTGGCCGAGCTTGGTCACCCGTACGTCTACGTCACCCGCCCCAACGCCCGCGACATCGGCGTGTCGGCGATGCGGCGCCATTTCCGCGACTTTTCGCCTGCGCTCGTCACCGCCGACGACCGCGGCTTCTACGTCGGCTTTGCGTCGCGCGATGCGGCGTCGCGGGCGCGGATGGTGCTCGACAAAAAGGCGCTGCACAGCTACCACATTTCGATCACCGTCAGGGATGCCCCGGACGCCGACTCGATCCGCAAGGAGGCTCTGGCGAGCAAGCTCTCGGCAGGCCATGGCGCCGCAGCCCACGGGGGCGACGAGCCTCAGACCGCCGCCGACCTGTTCCGGCGGCGCAGGGCCATCATGAGCCATGGCAGCTCGCACGCAGCCGAGACGGACAAGGCAGAGTACACGCCCGACGAGCTGGCCGAGGCGACCTTTGCGCTCATCCAGAGGGAGCTCGCCGAGCACTTGATCCGCAACGTCAAGTCGAGGATCGTCACGCCGCTCGTCACCGACTTTATGAAGCCGAGCGGCTCGGGAGGCCGCTTAATGGCCGGGCTGGTTCAGGAGATGGCCTCGGCGAGCCATCCCGCCGGGCCGAATGGGACCTCGGCCGTGTCGGACGAAGCCAAGCTGCCGTCGTTCCGCAAAAAGCCTGCGCCAGTCGTCAGGAAGCCCGATCTCGACTTTGCCATCCCCAAAAAGGCCTCGGCGCTCGCAAAGGAGCGTTCCAGCGCCAAGGCAGCGAGGGGAGGCGAGGGCAAGTTCAAAAAGGGCCGCGCAGCCCTCGAGACGTCCGACGACGAGGCTGGATCCGCCGACGAGGAGCACCCCAAGCCTGGCCGGCGGAGGCCATCTGCCGGGGCCATCGAGGCGGCCGATGGCATGGCCAAGGACAAGCCGAGCGCCCGCAAGAAGCTGCCGGACTTTTCAGACGAAGACGACGAGGTGGGCGAGGCATCCAGGTCGGTCTCTGCGTCAGTCGAGCCGTCGAGATCCGTGTCGGCCTCGGTCGAACCGTCGGAAGCGGGCCACGAGGCCGGCGAGGCCAGGGCAAAAGCTCGGCCTGCCAAGAAGGCGAGCAAGAAGAGGCCGACGAAGAAGGCGGCGGCGGCAACGGCGGCGGTGACGACCGCGCTGGAGCTGCTGCCCGAAGAAGACGAAGGCGCAGACCTCGAAGCTCCCCGCGCCACTTCCAAAGCTGCTGCCGCTGCGCACAAGGCCAAGTCCGCCAAGGCAGCCAAGACAGCCCCGATCGCCGACCTCGATCCGTTCTCGAGCGGCCTCGCCGAGGACGATGAGGATCTCTTCTACATCAAGCTTGCGCTGGAACGCCTGCGCGAGGGTCTGCCCATCACCGAGGCCGGCTGGCCCGAGCCACTTCCGGGGCATGAGCCGTCGGGCGCGGGCGGCGATGGCAAGGGCGATGACGATGGCGACGGCGAGGCTGAGGGCGACGGCGACGGCACAAGTGCGGCTGCCTCGCAGCAGGCGCCGCACCACACGGGCGCCGCGCGGACCGAGGGCTTCTACCGGATCCCCGCGGCCGACAAGGCTGCGCACCTGCCGGACCGCAACAAAAAGAGCGAGCGGGACGCGCCGAGCGTGCACGCGCTGGCGTCGGCGCGCAACAACCGCGCCGACTCGCGGCGGCTGGTGCTGGGCATTGAGCAGCACAAAAAGGAGACTGCGAGCGACACGGACATTTTCAAAATCAACCAGCTGCGCACGCGCAAGAAGCAGCTCAAGTTTGCCAAGTCGCCGATCCACGACTGGGGGCTGTACGCCATGGAAAAGATCCTGCCGGGCGACATGGTGATCGAGTACGTGGGCGAGGTGGTGCGCCAGCAGGTGGCCGACGAGCGCGAAAAGCAGTACGAGCGCCAGGGCAACTTTTCCACCTACCTCTTC